TCAACCCTCATCAGAGAAGCTTTTTATTGTAGTAGATGAGAATTAACACAGAGACGCACAGCAGGACAATCAGCAGTGATTAAGAAACATTGGAGTTCTCAAGGCTCTGGGATCCATACAGAAGAGGAGATGAAAATATGCTAAGAGTCAGAGATGATTGATGACTCTAAGACATCATCTTCCAGACACAACAGGGATGACAGACATATGTCCACAGACCGTGACAGCACACACAGGACCCACACAAATTCAAGACAGACAAAATTCCAGCATGGAAAAGGGGAAGTAGGCACAAAAGTCTTGTGCCTAACTAAGTAGTTATTTGCAGTTGATATTTGCTGGGAGAGGGAAACTAGTCTTCTCTAATGCAGTACCACTGGGTATATCAGCTATGTTCAGGGAAGACTGACACAAAAATGACTAAACTGACTCTATCTGAGAGAGAGAGAGAGAGAGAGAGAGAGAGAGAGAGAGAGAGAGAGAGAGAGCCCATATATTGTATTCAAATGTTTTAAATAATAAGTATGTAAAATAGAATATTTGGATCTGACAAAGAATTTCTGCTTGAGTTTCCCAGTCAGGCCTTGAAGTTTGACTTACCATCCTAATTAACCAGCTCAGAAAGTAGAAGTTTAGCTGATACTACTTAACACAAAGGTGAGAGGGTTCGGATGTCACCTCAGGTTAGACTCCAAGATGAGGCAAGATGAAGATTGGGTATTCTTTCTCATGCTCCACATAGTTCACCCATGGATCCTTCGAAAGATTCTCTCTCTCTCTCTCTCTCTCTCTCTCTCTCTCTCTCTCTCTCTCTCTCTCCCTGTCTGTCTCTGTCTCTCTGTATGTGTTTAATAGTTTTTCTTTCTCTGAACTGTGCATAATACCTTCCAACTCTCAGCATCAAAACTCTTTATCCTGAAGTCCCCAGTCTATAAAGACTCATTGAAGGCAGCTGGCTAGATACCCTGCTATGCTGTGTCAGAGACCTGATGAAAAAAACCATGAGTCATGGGGTCAGAGATTGGACTCAGATTCTGAGGCCATGCTATGAGCAAAAATGACAGTACACATGTGTCCATGTTTTTGGGTGTCTGGGGGTATGTTGGTGATGGAAGAATACAAATTTGAGTCTGATGGACAGCAAGAATGTGGTTTTGGATCAGTGTATGGTGAACCTTCATGGGAAGACTCAGGAATGTATAGGTGTGAGGGTATGGACATGTGGATGCAACATTTTGTGTGTCAAAGGCGAATGTTCACAGGGCTGATGCTCACATGTGCATTCCAGTCCTCATCAGTACTGCTGAATCCATGGTTACATGTTCTTCTGCAATTGGCAAGTAGCCAGTACAGCAATTCCCCAGGCTACACATGCTCTGCTGCAACCCTGGCTGCCTGCTCAGCTACACTGAGGAGAAATAAAGACGCTTTATTAGAGGCCTTCAGATGCCCATTCCACATTTGTCTTCCAATGCTCTATGCTTGTCCATAAAGCTACAGACATTATTTTGAGCACCAACATCACTGGTGGAATTTGTGTGGTGCACAGAAAGTGTGTTTGCATTATAGAAGCATGTGTGTTACTGGATGAGCTCAGGCTTGCCTGGGTTTGCTTTCCTTATGGCTCTGTGGGTGGTAAAATCCAAAAGGATGTCTAGACTTTATACTTCTCACAACCCCCAGTAGAGTGAGAATATTTATGTTGCAAAGAACACAGGTGAGAAAAAAAAAAGCAGACCTGAACTTTGAATCTGAGCTGTACCACCTACATGATGTATTTACTATGGCAAATAGACAATCTCTGCGTCTGTCTGGGGAATAATGACACTGGCAACAACAGCTTGTGATACAGTAGGTTGGTGTGGCTGTCTTCTGGGAGCCTCTGCCTCAGCCAAGCCTCAGTTATTTAGTTATTCCCTTGGTTTAGTGCTCTCAGTTCTTATTCTGGAGGCTTTAGCTTCCATAAGCAAAACACCTAGACCTCACTGACAGCCTACATTGACTTCGCAAACTGGCTGGATAGATCGTTCCAAGGACGGGATCCATCCTGAGCAGCTCTTTAAAAGGGAGATTTCAGAAGAGAATGGTGACTACTAAATTGGGTTCTACAGCTACTACACACAGAGACACACATGCGCCGGGAGGCATATGAAAATAAATGGAAGAGAAAATTAAGTGCAGCACACGAAGTCTAAAGTAAGTCTTAATGTTAAGTTATGGAGGGAGTAAAAACAAGACATCAGAGCCAACTTAAAAAAAATTCTGGGAAGATAATACAAAGGGTTAGAACTGGGCAGTGATGGCAGCCACCTTTATCCCAGCACTCAGGAGGTAGAGGCAGGCGGATCAATGTGAGTTCGAGGCCAGCCTGGTCTGCAAGAGCTAGTTCTAGGACAGGCTCCAAAACTATAGAGACATTCTCTCTTGAAAAACAAACAAACAAAGGATTAGGGAGAGGAGACATGACTTGGAGACACCTGGTGACTCCTGAGTCAGACATCTGAGTGGGGAGTATTTGCATTACCTAGAAACTCAGTCAGGGCTTACATACCTTACTGGTGATTTTTTTTATACGTCAGATGAGTTTCTGTTGAATGCAATGTTCTGGGGTAAGGGTTATGAGCTACAGATCACAAAACCGGTACCTTCCACTTAGATTTCTGTAATCCTCAGCAGTTATGAGTGGCCATGTTTTCTTACCACCTCACTCTGGAAGTCAGGGATGGGAAGACTGGCTTTTCTGGGAACACTGGGCACTGGCATGCTTAGCTTGAACTAAAAGCAGTTCAATATTGCCCTCCTCCCTTTGAGACCCAAACTCTCCTACTCCTGTTCCCATCCCTTCGTCCCTCCACAGACATCCGAGGCTCCTATGAGAAGAGCTGTAATTCTAGCAAGGCCAGGTTCCCCTTCCTTTCCTCAGAAGATTGTGTTGTTCTCAGTGTGTCTTCTCTAACACACCAAAGCCGTGAGGGAGGAGGCTAAGTGCAGCTCAGGCCATCCCTTCATTGGATTCGGCTTTGTCTGTTTGCCTGGCAATACTGGTGTCCTAGCTTTTATGGGAACTGTTAAACCAAGAGGCCTGGAACCCCGCACTACATTTCTACATTTGTATCATGCTCATCCCATTCTGAGAAAATGAGGAGGTGCTTCAAGGTACATTGATACATGATGGATGATAAACAGGTAGAGAGATGAGCAAGTGGGAAGATGTTGATACGTGATGCATACATGGGCTAAATGCATAGCGGAGAAAAATTGCTCATCCATCCAAGGGCGCCGAAACCTTTGATCTTAAGCTAATTTTTCAGTCTCTGGGGTTTATATTATTTGTTGGGAATGAACCAAGCTTTTAAATTTATATTATTTTCTTCTTTGGATATGTCTGTGGATTTTCAGTGACTGTCTCTTGAAACACAGAACCACTTACAAGGTATGTGGGTATAGAACAGGAGGTTTAAATGCCCAAATCTGCAGACTGATTTTGTAAAACAAGTCTGATGGAAAGAAATGGGGCTTGGATCTGGAAAGATGACTCGGCAGCTGTTAAGAAGGCTTGCTGGTCTTGCTCTGACTTGAGTTCCCAGAAGTCATATGCGTTGGGTGGCTTACACCTGTACTCTTGCACACAACTCCCCTAAATAGAAAATGAAAAGTAAAAATTTCCCAAGTATCTATTTATTTTCACTTTCTGTGTATGAGTCTTTTGCTTGCACGTGTATCAGTGTATCATATGGGTCTAATGCCCACAAAGGCAGAAGAGTGTGTTTAATGCCATGGTATTGGAGATACAGACAATAGTGAGAGCCACAAGGATGCGGGGAACTGAACCTGGGTCTTCTGTAAGAGCATCATCCATTTTTCTTATTTGCTGATTCATCTCTCCTGCCTGTCACATAAATCTTTTTTAAAAGAACTAAATGGAGACAGATAATTAAAACAATAGAGATAAGAAGTTAACATTATGTATGAGCCTGAAGCATCTACCATCCAGAGGAACAGCCTAAGAGAATTCCCGACCTGGAAAAAAGATGGAAGATGGGATTCTGATAAAAAATCTCATTGTGGCAGCTGGGTACAAGTGTGGTGGGCACACACTGTTTGCTTAGACAACCTCTTGACTGCACACTTGGTTAGTCTGAAAAAAAATGAGCTCTTGAACTTATACGAGAACTTTGAGATTCTGGTTTTAATTTCCTTAGACCCATCAGGCCCTGGACTGTGCTCAGAGTTAGAATTTATTTTTTTCCATACTTTTTCCAGTACTGTGCAGTTTTTTTTTCTCTTGAGTTCTCTTACCAAGGATGGCATATTTAACTCACACATTCTCTGTAGTACAAACTATGCTCCACAGTTTCTTTATGGTGCTCCTGTCTTCTACAGGTGTGTGTATGCTTGTGTGTGTGTGTGCACACGCACTCTCACTCAAGCACACGAGTGAGCACACAAGCTCACATGCTCTCGATGACGAAGCCCCTACCTCTCACTCCTTACCCCAGGAGGACCATTGAAAATGTCTGGTATTTATAGCACTGCGCATGCCAGTGCCCCTTCTCCTCAATACACAGGGAGTTTGCGTTGGGAGAGGAATACAAATCCTCAGAACTGCAGTGTTTTCAACAACAGAATCATCAGAGACATTTGGTGCCAGAGGAATTCTCCTTTAATTGTTTGGGAAGGGTGATGGGAAAGGGCGTCTGGGCGTGCCGCCTGGGTTTCCAGCAGGGCGATGTAGACACATGTTAGTGAAGATGATTAGGCAGTTCAGAAGTAGATCTTTGTCAGAGATGCAAGCTGCAACTGCTAATTAAGAAAGGGGCTGAGATGGAGGAAGCTCCAGCCTAGTAGCTTCTTTTCCAAGTGTGGACTATGGCTGCATCCAGAAGCAGGGCTGAGCGCATATATGGCTGGTGCGGGGAGGAATTCCAGATGCTGAGCAAGAAGGACAGAGGTCATGTTCTGTCTTCCTGACGATTCTCCTCTGGCCACAAGCTGAGAGCTCACTTCTGCTTTGACTTCTGGCACTGCTGAGGTGGAGGACACTTCTGTTGGCACTTGGGAGGAGGCTGGCAAGGCTGCTTGGTCTGCTGGGGTTGGGGGCAGCACTGCTGTGGGGGAGCACACTGCTGGGGTGGGGCGCACTGCTGGGGCGGGGGGCAGCACTGCTGTGGGGGGGCGCACTGCTGGGGTGGGGCACACTGCTGGGGTGGGGCACACTGCTGGGGTGGGGGGCAGCACTGCTGTGGGGGGGCGCACTGCTTCTGCTTCTGCTGAGACATTCTGGATTTCCAACTAGAAACAAGCACAAGGAATGAGACAAACTGAGTCAAAGATCCTGGGGGCAGGTGATTCTCCTTGCTAGTCACATGCCACATGCTGCTGTTCTGACCCTGATGTGATTGTTTTATGTATTTAAGGTGTGTGTGTGTGTGTGTGTGTGCGTGTGTGCTTGCTTACATGTTAAGTTTAACTAAATGTTTGTATGCTGTTTCAGTTCTTTATGAAAAACAGAAAATCAAAAAACAAGGAATGAATGAGGGGAGGTAGAAGGGATGGAGGAAAGGAAAAGAAAAAGAGAATGAGAGGAAGAAAAATGTTTAAAAATTTTCAAAAGAGGGAAGAAGGAAAAGGACACCAAGAAAGTGGTGTCCTTTTCCAAGAAAGAGAAAGAAAGACGTAGACATAAACAGCTATGTATGTTATAGATAAAACTGTGGATCTGAAGACAGAATTTCCTGGGACCTGGATCCTGCCTAAAGCACTACAGCTTTTGGTTTCCATCAATGTGCTTTTCTCTACCAACCTCTTCCAGGGTTGCTGTCCAAACCAGCGTGTAAAAATACATCCGAGCTTGCTAACATGCATGGATGTACCTATTAGAACCCACCCATCCACAGAGGCTCCAGAACTGACTTAACACAGTGTCAACTTAGCAAATAATTGTATAAGAATTTAAAATAAGCATTTTAACCTTTCTCTAAGGGAATTTTCCAAACCGAGAGGCCCAGAGGTAGATGCAGGGAACCATCTAGATTCAGTCTTTTGGCTGCTTTTGAAGAAAGCAACTCAGACAAGGAGGCACATTTCCATAACCACCCAGCACAGGCCAGTGGAGAAGGGGTCCCATGGTTCCCAGAGCAGGGGTCTTCTTAAGGCTTCACTGTACTGTCCCTGCTGTTCTGTATTTCCTGGCTCCCCCACTCTGTCCTAAGCCAAGTCAGCATGCTTCATTTCTTCCCTGGACCCTGATTTTTTTCCCTGAAGGGCAACTTTGCCAGTGAGCCCAGAGCTGGTTTTCCTCTCCTGGTTCCTTCTTAACACCCGTCAAAACACAATGCCTGCACCTTGCCAGCCCTTGTAGAGCCCTCTTCTGCTTCCGGTCAGTCTCCCCAGATCTTCAGCCAGATAACTTGAAGGCCCAATGTTGGCTTAAAATGGTAGGGAAGAGGCTGGGGCCCAGAGAAAGCCTCCCTTTCTGACCACCCAGAGACCGAATCCCAGTTGTTGGAATACACACAGAGCCAGGCAGCTCTGAGCGTCCTACCTCAATGGACTTACCAGAGTTCACCAGAGACTGGAGTGCAGAGACACCAAGCTGTATGGGGCGCTCTCAGCTGGCCCACCTTTTATACATGTCACCTCTCTGCCTGGGGCCATGAGGTGGCCTAGGATTGGGGTGTACTAATTAGTCTCTAGTCACAATAGGACCCATCTGCCCTTCCTCAAATTTCAGGTTTTACTCACCCCCTAAGGGTGGCAACCTCCCTCTTGGCATGGCGGGACTTGGGGATGACAATGACCTCACCATCGCCCTTGCCCCACCTCCCCATCGCTTTACAAGGGTTGGCCTTGGATTTCCAAATCCACTCGTGACTTTTGACTTAGAACCTTGGCATCTGGGATAGTCCCAAGCAGGCATTCAGGACAGTGCTGGGCGTGGGGGCTCTGAGGGCTGTGAGGGGAGTGTTTTGAGACATTCTGGTGGGCAAAGGGGTTGGGGTAGCCCTAGGCGTCTGTTCAGATAGCTTTGTTATCAGAGAAATGGCAGAGGAGGTGACTGGTTCTCTTAGGGCTTCATTAAATTAAGGAAAATTAAGTCTTTGATTTGTTCGCACTGCACTGGTGGGAAGACAATGTGATTTTCTTCTTCTTTTTGTCATCTAAGCAGGAACTTGGGGCTGCAGCCCTCTGTGCTGCCTGCTATTGGGAAAACCATTAGTTCCTATCAAGATAAACTGGGTGGTTACAGTAGACGATGCTTATCTCTCTGCTCCTCTGCATATGTATAAGTTACTCAGACTGCAGGGTTCCCAGGAAGTGATTATCATGAACACTGGTGGAGGGGTGGGGGAAGTAGGAAGCATTGAGTTAGCATGAGCTCATGGAAGACTCCAGGTGGCTGGGTGGTGGAGTCTGGGCTCTGAGGGCAGCAGCCCTGGTTTCCTCCACACTCCTGTTGGGGATCCTGGACACAGACTTCACTGCTGTCCTATCTGAGAAAGGATGGCGTGGTGCTCCAGCTGGGGAACTGCCTTTGCCGCTTGAGTAACTGAGCACTTAATGTTTTAAGCTTCCATTTCCTCTTCCTCGTTTGCTAATGAGGATAATGACACCACCCTGCATGTCAGGAGTTAGGATTAAGATGAAGCGCCTAGACAAAATGCTTGGGCAGATAAGTGTTCAATTGTTAACTGCTTCATGGAATTGAGCTTTTTACATAACCAGAGTAAGATGGACTCTTGAAATACTAAATAGGTAGCCGAAGGAAACTGAAGGCAGCCAGAGGCACTTGACACCCAGTGTCACCAGATATTGAATTAAAGACATAGGAGGAATACAAGATTACTGTATTCATGGTAGCAACATTTAAACAACAATGGACGGCAAACTAACATGATGAGATTTTTAAGTGTTCTGGTTAACAAGGGGGAAGTGTCTGTGTGGGTCTTGTGTGGGTAGCTGATCTGTGCTCATGTGTGTCTAAGAGCACAACACAGAACACAGGGAAGCAAAAAGGAAGAGCTACAGGGTGAGGACGGAAGCTGTGAACATGGCATGGCTGTTACACACAGGAAGTCCCGAGTGCTTGAATGAGCAGTCCCTATAACAATGAAAAAACAAACACACACATTAAAACAAAAAGAGAAAAAGGTCTGGGTCAAAGAAGAAAATTCTAACAAATTAAAAAAATTAGCAGCATTTATTGGCTATTTTTATTCTATAAAATGCAGTGGGTATTCTAATGAGCTGTGCCGCAGACACCTACAGACAGAGAAGTACTGAGGAAAGCAGAAACAGAACAACAGAAGCAGAGTGGTTGTTTTAAATCCCCTTTCTTATGAAGAATAAAGGATGGGCTCACCACAGGAGCTGAAACTTACCAGCTTTGGGAACTCTTCTCTCCTCTCCTCCTCTCTTCTCCTTTCCTCTCCCTTCCTCCCATTTTCCTCTCCACTTCCTCTCCTTCCTCCCCTTCTCCTTCTTCCTCTCTCCTCTTCTTTCTTCTCTCTCAATTCTTTTGTCATTTCTTCTTTTTTCTCTTTCTTTGCCTACAGCTCCTCTTTCTCCCCTTCTCATATCTCTTTCCTGTTTTCTAGAAGGAAATACAAATAATTCAACAATGTGTCTCGTTGTTACAACAGGAAACTTTAGCATGAGGGACTAAATTCCAGCCTGGTGTGCTGGATCTAGTGAAGAAGCTAAGTCCAAACCCATCAACTATAAGTACATAGTAAATCACTCAAATAAGATGCTGCATAGTACAGATATCAAAATATCTATTAAACTATAGTCCTGATCAACTTGGGCCATACTCTGCATGTGGACAAGGAGCTAAGAAAGACCCCAAGGAATCTATGTCTTCTTAAGAAATAAATTCCTTCAGCCTGGTATCATTCACCTAGAAGTAACTGTGCCTAAATGGGCATAAGGAAGGAGTTTTAGCTCAGGACCCCAAAAGCAGCATGGAAAGGCCATATGGGTAGGCTTTCTGGAATAGGCAGTTACTCATTGGGCTGAGTTGCCCATGTACTGCCCCTAGGCCTAGGACACAGGGGAAGAAAGTGGTCAGGCCCTTGCTATTTCTAAGATAACAAAGCAGGAAAGAGCTCTGCTAGTTAGTTCTACATCTGGGAACTGGAGCCGTGCCAGTGGGTTGGGGTAGTGAGTGCTTCTCCTTTACATATATATTTCTATTGTTCATCTTAGATTAGCTGAGTAAATGAAACTCAAGGGTCTTTAGTAGCATGTCTACATTGTTGAGTAAATTGTGAACAGCTACTAACTGGTGCATTTGGCGTGCTAAATCTGGTAAAGCTTTTCTTACATGTGCCTAAGCACCCAAAACAGATGTTTTGTGGTGATGTCGGCAACCTCAAAAATGTATGATGTAATATTGCTTCTGCTGCCAGAGGACCAAAGGAGAAGGTAATCTAGAAGTCACTAATAAAGCCATTGGTTATTTTAATCTCTGGATGATGCCTTCCACTGACCTTCATCAGTTTCATTTTCTGTCATGTTCTTCAATCTCCCATCTCCCTTACACACATACACACATACGCATACTGTGGCCCACGTGCTCATGGGATCATAGACCAGCACCCTAAAAGTTGATAGGGTTGAACGTGGTATCTTCTACCAATTTCCAAAGCACATGCATATGCACCCTTTTTGCCTTAGCTCCTTGTTTGTTCCCTGGTCATGGACCTCAACTCTGAACCTTCCCATACTCCTAAGACTCTGTGTGGCAGCTGATGGTGTTATTCCCTGCACATGTTTCCCTTGGAGCTCTTATCATCATGATTTCAGTTTCATGAATGTAAACAGAGTGGTATGAGGTGATGTGAGAGCTGTGTGTGCTGGGGGAGGATGTGGAAAGAATCCCCCATGGCCGAGGGTACCCAAGGCTGGCAAATAGATCCCCATGTGCTTGTTTTTAGTCTGAAACACCAATAGCACATCGGCTCCAAAAAGGACTTCAACCTAGTTGGGCCAGGAGGGGCCAGGGCTGAGCTTAACAAAGTACATTCAGCCAGCAAGTGTAGAGGGTCAGACTATACCAAGGACTGTTGGACTGGAAACTGGGTTTCTGGTCTTAGGAACATGTATCTGGCCCAATGCAATGGAAGATCTGGAGCTCAGAGATTGACACTGTGAATCAGGACCTGGAAAATAACAGGGAAGAACCAGTGTGTCATAGAGCCCCGAGAAAAGGCCTTGGGACATGGCTGGCGCCAACAATGAAGCACCAGAGAAGATGGGGAAACCCCTAGACTAAAGATTTCCTTACAGGAGACTCCCTATTAGTCTCCTAGTGCCTGAAAAAGATTATTATTCAGAACAGGAAGTAAATCAGTTTCTGTGAAATGAGTTAAAGCATTACAGCAGAAAGAAAGCAACCACATGCGAGAAGGTGTTACGTGTCCCTGGAACGAAAGAAATTGGTATAGAGTGGTGGGGGCCAGTGGCGATGACCAGTGGAAAAGCTTGTGGACCAGACTGCATGAGAAGTCTGATACCCCAGACTTGCCAGGAGATTTGTTTCAGTACAGGAGCCTGGGCCTTGGCTCTGAGCAGTGCAGTGGTGAATACCACAATTTTAAAGAAGGTTTGATTGGCATAAAGAGGGATAAAGGCAAGGCGTGTGTATTAGGGAAATCCAGGTATGCTCTCAGATTGCCCAATAATTACTGCGTGCTACTGTCGGATAATTGGCCTCTTTCCAAGCTGAGGATTTTGTCTGCTGTAGAAGATAATTAACCTGAGGATTGCCACTGTGTGGGTATGGAATGCTTTTTCCCATAGGGAATAGGAAGCCAAAGAAGGGACAAGATGGAAGCACTCTAGACACTCATAGAACCCACACTATGAACCAGGACAGGAGAAGCTGAGAAAGGGAGACACACAGAGTGGATGGGAAGGAGAGGTGGTAAGACCCTTCCCCTGGGCAGCAGCAACAAAAGAGAGAAGGAAAGCAGGCCTAAGAATCATCCAACTAAGAACACATTCATGCTGGAGGACTGACAGGCTAGAAGGAAAGGCAAGGAATTAAGGGAACTCATTATTCCAAGTAACAAAATTGGAGGACATGGAGGTTAGACCTGGGAGGAGGAAGCATAGCGGCCAAACTTCTGTCCATACACGTGTGTGGTGGTGGGTGAGGGCACCTAAGAAGCAGAACAATGACAGAGGGGGGAGAGGGAAGTGGAAGGAGGGAGATTTTCCCTTCGAGTACTTGCTATGTGCTGATCTCTAGTATAGGGGAGAAGAAAAGGCAGCTATGACCAAGGGAGCTTAGGGCCAGGCACGGCATCCATCCCCGAGACAGTCACCTAGGTAAGCACCAGAGTGTCCGAGCACAAATGTTGCCAGAGCTGGAAGAAGTCGGATGGTCAAATAGAGTATCCCAGCTCCCTACCAACAATGATGCCATTCTTAACAATGCACAGAAGAGTCATGATTGTAGCTTTTAGAGCAGTGTTCTCAGCCTTCCTAGTGCTGTGATCCTTTAATACAGATCCTTCAACATGATGATCGTCAACCAAAAATTATTTTCGTTACTACTTTATAACTGAAATTTTGTTACTGTTATGAATTGTAATGTAAATATTTTGGGGGACAGAAATTTGCCGAAGAGGTCACAACCAACAGGTTGAGAATGTTTTAGAGACATTGATTTAATGATAGTAATTTTTATATCTTTGGAAGGTCTTTAGTTTGTTGGTTTATATTTGATACTATTCTCTTTACTATTTTTAAGAATTACCTTTATTTTGTGAACTATGATCATTGTAAAAGACCTTTGCTTTTAAATGACAACACAAAATATCAT